TGGAAGTCTACGGTTTGAGATACCAAGGCGTCCTTAAAGTTTGCATATACCACATCCAAATCCGTCGGCAAATCTAGTATTCGATTTATGCTATTGAAAGATTTGATTTCAGAATTATCTTGGCTCTGCAATACATATGTAGCGAAGACCTCTACATTAACTTTAATGGCATTATGGGCCCTCAGAACAACTTTCAACAATTCCAATACCCTCACTTTTATAGCCTCAAAAAATGTTATATAGTCTATATGTTTTTCATCACTTTTGACTCTATAACTTGCGATTCTGCACTTAAATGCACTCTTAATTAAATATATACCATCGACATGAATTGTGCATGCCTTTTCTTTATGACTAAGACTCCTCATATGTGATGTCATCTGATTGGTTGCGATGTCTACATTACATGATTCACATCTACTTTTATGAACTTGTGGGTCTACGGTACGATGTGAAACTCGCATTACACGAGCTTGTTTTACCGGTAAAACATCCGGGCTTGAATTGGCGGTTCTTTTCGTACCGCTGGATGATTCACCATTGCGGTTAGATATCAGATTACAACTTTTATTTTGATGTCGTCGTAAATTATCTGCTCTTGTAAATGTTAAACCGCAATTACACTTATACATATCTACTATTTTTATGATTATTTCGATATTAGATAATGAAACTTCCAACGCACTTATAGCTCGCGACTGATCTCATTCGTATAGATGTGATATTATATACCTCTCAATAAATCCCCACCTCCACTATGCTCCCCTCCCCTATTCATAATATACGGGAACAGCTCCAATTCTTGTTACTTCGGTATAGAGTAACGTAAATTCTAAATACATAGTAATCACTAGGAGGTAATGAGATGTACTTACTATGCTCATTACACTACTCAATTACGTTCATTAAAGTATATAATTTACAGAATAATTGGGAGGCACTTGCTAATTGCGCGAAGGGTGGGATACTACCCCTTCCAACAATATTTACATCGCGCGTGTCTGCCGAAGACCGGTGATTCACTTTAGCTATGGCGGTTGAGAGTCAAGGGTGTGCATGGCGCCGACTTATTTCCCCTATGCTACAACAGTAAACAAGAGAAGTACTTAGACTTATTACACTACGTGATATACACAGTAAATACTGTCTGAGAGGTATGCATATGGTGTAATGAGAGGTACTTACTATGCTCATTACACTATGCAATTACACTCAGTACAGAATAATTGGTTGGTCCTTACATCACTATGTGTACTGAGAGGTACTTACTATACTCATTACACTATGCAATTACACTCATTACACTATGCAATAACATGGTGTACAGAGTAATTCAGAGGTACTTGCTAATTGCGCGAAGGGTGGGGGGTACTTGCTAATTGCGCGAAGGGTGGGGGGTACTTGCTAATTGCTCGAAGGGTGGGGGGTACTTGCTCGAAGGGTGGGTGGTACTTGCTCGAAGGGTGGGGGGTGGGTACTTAGGGTAATTACTAATTACACCAATTGCCTCTGACCTTGCCTCTGACCTTGGTCCAGAACTGGCTAATCCCATCTACTTAGATAGCTATTTTTGTTTCTGAGTTGTGTTCATTTATAGGCTCAATTTTTTTCCGTTTCTCCTTTTTGATTTTATATGGGGTTTCAAGTTGTTTTTGACTTATTTCGACGTAAATCACAACAACACACTTTTTTAATAAAGCAAACAAGTGTTAAGAGGTATATGTACGTGTAAACTACAATTACAAAAAATTGATATGAAACCCATGAAACCACCAACAAAAATGTAAAGCTAGCTTCCGTACTAGAACATGGTGTAATTCGTCGAGATAATTTATCGTTTTGTTTAATAGATCAAGAAATATAAATATTCCCCTGTTATTTTTTATAAAATTATAAGAGAAATAAATTTTTTTCTAAATAGTATAGTTTATTATTTTGTAGAAAAACAAAATTTAGAAAATTTTAGTAATGTTTCAGAAACAACCGTTATTAATAATAGGTACCATTTTCCTTAATAAGGTAGAAATAAAATATAAACTATTTCCACGATTTACAAAGGCATACAAAAAAATTATAGGTATTTTCCGCTATCCTATAAAATTTATATTTTCTGACTCAATTTCAAAAGGTTGAAGGAATTCTAAAACACCTTTTATAGCATAATAATTATTTTCAATTCAGCATAATAATTATTTTTAATTCTACATACTATGTTTAGCAGCTTTTAAAAACTTTCTAAGAAAGTCCAATCAGACCAATTTAATCCCTAAACTATTCCACACTTTTAAAATTTAATTACCTAAAAATATTAAAAACTATTTAAAATAACTTGTTTAGCAGACTGTACAATAGCTATCTTAGTCACACGTAGCGCGTTCTCTGTCTGGGCGTCGAACACCTCTAGAAATTTGATGAACTGTATTTACATTTCATGAGATTGATTTTGACATAACCTACCTGTGAAAATTGGTTTTGGGTGGTTTTGATCCAAAATGTTCGGAAAACTATGCATCTCTTTACTATTTTGAAATGTTTAATTACGTTTGTAAATAATGTCTTTCATATAAATAAATAAAACAAGAATATTCCACTAAAATAAAACACCGAATGACACTTTTAAAAACATACAGAAACAATGGGGGTCAATTCTATATGTACCCAGACAACACACCAAATCCCAGAGATATCCACAGAATATATTTTGTGGATATCCAATATATCCACAGGATATCAGAAATATTCCGTGGAACTAATATGGATATCCAAATGTCCGTCTATATCCAGAATATAGAAGATATCCTATGGATATTCAGCAAAATATCTAATGAGTATCTCCAGACAATACAAGAAATCCCAGATATATCCATAGAATATATTTTGTGGATATCCAACCAAATGTCCGTCTATATCTCAGGATATAGAAATTCAGATAAATATTTTATAATTATTTTTAGTAGAGGTTCATAAGTAACCAATGGTTATTGAATAACGTCGAAAGAAAATAGAGGTAAAAAATATTCCCAACAATCTGCCTTTGATTTTGCCTACTAAGGAGAAAATCATCCTTATTAGGAATCTTCAGCAATAAATGGAACTTCTCGACTTCAGTCTCTAATGAAGTCTGTTTGTGAAACAATGTCGATCAAACTCAATTACGGCGGGTTAAGCATGAGTAGATACGAAAGTGGTATCGCCATCTATACTTAGGAAGCAAAATCAAAAATTACATCTAGTAGATATCCACGATGGTTTGCGTCCGCGCTTAGACTTTGATATATTTATATTTATAGTGGATGTCCATGGGATATTGAATACACCTTAAAAAAAATTAATTTTAAATATCTCAACGGTACTATTAGCCACAATGGCGAGTACAATGGCGTAATTTTTTAATAATTTGCTATATAATTACAATTATTTATGGACATTTGCATGTCTATAAATTACATTTCATGGATATAAAATAGATATCCACCATGGACTGGACATTCAGTGGATATTGGGATGTTCAGTAGATATCCAAAGGATTTGGTGTGCTGTCTGGGTATATATTCCTATATGTAGGAAAATGTCATAAATTTTCGATGTATAGAAAAATGTCAAAAATTCCTATAGGAAAAAATTCCTACGAGTCGAGAATCGACCCCATGGTGTATTCTTCCACCATGATACAGAAACAGGATTGCCAAGTAGTGAACAAAATCTAAAAACATCCAATTTAAACACCGATTCAATGCAGAAAAAAATTAAATGAGAAATTTTATGAATATGATCTAGATTCTTAAATGAACTGTTAAATATTAAGTATTTCGAACCTTGAAACATTGGGAACTAATAATTATTATCCTTATACGTTTAACCGAAAGAGAGATCGGGCAAGCTCCAATACCGTGATACCCTAATTGCGTATGGTATTATTTGACATCTACGCATGCGCATATCAAAATATTTACAGTATTACCCTATTACCGTTATTGCAAAACGCTAATTCCGTAAGTTTGCGGAAGGGATTTATGAAATATGAATGTATCCGAATTTAATATCATCCATAGTGGTATGCCGCTTGTCATTTGTCTTTTGAAACGATTTCTCGGTTTCTTGTTTCTGTTTGGCTTGGATTTGTTTGTATTTGTTTGTTTTGGCGTCTATTGTGTTCGTAGTAGTTTTAAAATGTTATATTGACCGTTTAAACATTTTTTGTAATTGTAGCTTTTTTAAAGTACATTGGGAAGAGGCAGAATATTGCTGAATCATTGTTAGGAGTGTTTAATGGGAATTTATTATTTTATTTAAGTTTATTTAAACCATGCGGTTCTTTATCATTTTCCAAAATATTATTTAGTATAATGAACTCTATATCATCATCCGCCTCTGCCAATATTGCTAATTCTACAAAAAATATTCCACACAAATATATAAATCTAAACTACGATTGCCATGATCTAAACAAATCAAAATGAAATGATAGGAACAAAGAACAAAAAGTGTCAAGTCAATGCTCTCAAAACGATAATACCCGAAAATATAACGTTAAACCTAAAATAAATTTAGTCTGCCCGAACTCTCTACAAAATCACGTTTGCGTGCATTCGGTATTTCGAAAATAAGGTAGTTGGTAATTAGCGTAAGGACCCTATTGGTGCTTGCCCGATCTCTCTACTGTGGCAACCTCTGCTGGTACCACCGTTTGTTGTGCATGCGATTGTGGACCTTATTATCATACGAAAATTGTTTATGTAAACAAGGCGTATCTATTCCAATACATGATCGAATGACTAAACCGAACGCTACAAGGGTCGTTTGGAGTTAAAAGTATTAAAGGAGTTAAATGAGCTTGGCAAACCGAACGCAACTTTTATTTACTTCTTTTCGGTGGACACTTTTTGAGATAAACAAAATATAAGATTGTCCTTATGTCCTCTACACTCCATATGTTAAACAAATAAATAATAATTAACAAATTATTTTATATTCATCGATTAACTGAAAATAATCGAAAGTCCAAACGGAACGTACCTCCATCTATGTCGCAAGAGTTCAGCTATTCATTCATAGATGTCACTAGACATAATTAATAACTACGCATGCCTTATACGAGACGAGACCAAATAGACAAACGTACAACCATTTCGAAAAAAATGTAAATACAATGAAAAGAAACGGAACTAGAAATGCATGTCTTTGATCATGGAAACCGAGGTTATTTAAAGGCAAACAAATTAAAAATTTTCAAGATCTTTGAACAACAACAGAAGAATTGAAATTGAAAGAAAAGAAATAACATCTTTGGTGAGGTATAACATCTTCCACCGGCCCGACCATCATGGCAGAAGCGGAGCAACAACAAGCAACGCCAGAACAACCTAAAGCAGTCCCAGAAGTCCCGAAACAGAAGGAAGTAATTGGTAAGAAACTATTTTTTTTTACAATTTTAACACGTTAAACCCCGGGGTGTTAAAGTGTAATGTTCACATCAGACCAAGTAACTTTTTTTGGCATTTGAATTAAAATATGTATTATTGTTAATATTTACTTAAAAAAAGTCACAAAAATACTTTTTTTGTGAAAAAACCGTGTCCAAATTTGTACACGCGGTCCATAAAATTTTTTTGATTGGCATTAGTACCGGCTTCATAACGCTTTAGTGTCACAAAAAGTAAACGATTTAGAAAAAAACAAAAATAGAACCATTTTTATTTGTAGGGACTAATTATTTACAAAAAAGTGCGGATTTTGTCAAAATTAACTAATTTTTTCTAACCTCCATTTTTTTTTTCGGAATATGAGTAAAATTATTCGCCGAGATCTCCGGTAGGTGCTAGTTTTGCAAAAATAATTAGTTACTATAGTAAATTTTCGTAAAAATATAGAAAAACCAGTTTTTTCGAGAAAAATATCAAAAATTGAAATTATCAAAAACCATATAAGTATTTTGTAGGTATACCTATGGAGAATTGGCATTTAAAAAATATTTTCGTCATTTTTTTCCCATATTTGCACAAGAAAATATTAACTAAAAATTATATATTTATTATACATGAAATATCAAAATAATTATGCAACAACTCGCATGAAAATTGAATTGCATGTCACCTGAAAAGAAAATATTTTTAAAAATCCTCTTCCTGGCCAACCGTCACATCAAAGAATATACATTCTTGCTTCTCAGCTTAATATCGCTACGCCTAGGTATTGTTGCAATAAACGCAACTTAAAATTTAGAAATATTGATTGAAATAGGTACATATTTTTTGCAATATACTCACAAATATGTACCTTTAGTATGTGTGCTATATATTTCCTACCAGTAAATAATGCATTAAACACTTAAAAACTCTAAAGATAAAACGCAAATGTAGGAAATATTTTTTTAAACCAAACAACACACTTATTCTTCATTCTTTATTTGTAATATATTTGAAATTGAAATAATGGTTAGGTATGACATAGTGGTGTTCTTATTGTAATCGGATTCTATCAAGAAATAGGAACATCTACAATAAAAAAATAAGTTCCAACTTTAAAAGGCCATATTTTTGAATTTTGATTAAACGCAATTTTTTTCCCAAAATTAATGAAATACTAAAGAGATATGTCACCTGTGTACTATATTGTCTATTTGAAAAAACTTCATTTTTTCAATGATGATACATGGTTAGAAAATAAGCACATAAAATTGAATTTTGTTCATGCTGCACAGAAAGAATTAACATGTTTGACGTTTTTCATCACAGAAACCTTACCTTTTCTTTCTGAATGTATTTTGTAACACTGCACATCTTCCTCTTTTTCTTTTCAAGAGTATATCCAGGTATTTCTGGCAAAATATTCCTTGTGATTATTCATTTTTAAATGACTATGGTGTTTCTTTCTTGTAGTTTGAATTTTGAATAAAGAAAACCTATTATAAAAGTTATTAGTTCAAAAAGACAAAAAGAGACATTCTTCTCTATTCTAGGTACTTAAATATTATAATTATTCCATTTTTATAAATATGTTGGCTCCAAGGTTGATTCTGCTAGGCTTTAGCTTCTTCGGAATTTTGAAAAAATTCTTTAAGCTAAAATGTACCTCATCCAAATAGTAAAATTGTATCAAAACTTGCAATTTTACAGGTTATTTAACATATTACATCAAACTTTCATGAATTGATCTAACATACAAAATTGAATTTACAAAAAGGGATGAAGAGTATAATAGTACTTTATTATCAGTAATATATTTAAAAATGTTTACATAGTCATAAATACTTAAACCCTTAAATAGTTACATCCACATAGAATACTGGTAAAATACACCACATTTTACATGCAACTTATTCAATTTAAACTAAAGAAAACTAATTTTAAATGGTTTTTATTTGTACATACCAAAACAAATTAAAAAAAATAGAAATGTACATTTGCTTGGGTGAGCTTTAGCCTGAGGCTACTCTTACATCTAACCCTATACATTTGATACATAGTTTAAATAATCGATAAATACATTTTATATACAATATGTAAATTCCAGTAAAAGATTTATCAAGAAAAAAAAAACCTAAATATATTTATGGACAAAGAAAAAACAAAATAAAAAATATAAATAATTACACATATTATGAGAGAATTACATTTTACTGTATTTTTGAAAACATTTCTAATATTAACGTTGTGCATCATTGTTCTGAATATGATAACAGTTGGTAAGTAATAGTAATGAAAAATAAAAAAACAATACCAAATATTGAAAATATTAGGTGACATGTTTCACTCTTACAAAATAATCGTTAATGCTATATGTGTCCAGTGATATATTTATAATTTGCTGGTAAATTACATATGAAGTGCATTAAAAAAAAAATTATGTGATCCAATAACAGGATAAAATTTCATTTATCGATAAGTGTTTTATTATAATAATTTAATACCTAATTAAAACTTACATAAATGAATATTCAGTACTTTTACTTATTTTTAAGAAAATTGATAACATTTTGTTTGAACATATATAAATTTGTGGAATCGGATTACATAATTTATTGAATTTGTTACACATTGCAAATATAATAGATTTTATAAACACATTTGTTATTGGAAATGGTAAATAAAAACAATTTATTTCTTGAATTAAACCTTTAAACCATTAAATCTATTAAAATTAAGTTGCAATAGAAGTTGCAGGGAGTAGGGATGCCACCTGTTCTTTTTTAAAAAGGACAGTCTTTTTTTCAAACAAATTGTCCTTGTGACTTTTTAAAGCTTAAAATGTCCTTCTGTACGAGATATGTCCTTTAAAAAGGACCTGGTTTTTATAAAAATATAAGTTGAGGCCTTTTTTTAAAGCTGCAAAAGGACCAGGGGAGTGAGTCGAATAAGGCAATGCACCAACTTATAACAAAATATGTAGGAATAATAAACATTATCCCTCTACAGGTCATGATCACTTCTAAAAATATGATAGTTGTTTCCAAACAGCTCTGAATTTGATACATCTGATTAAAGCCAAGTTTCAGTTATAAGGTGGTATTCAGATTAGGATATTGCTTGACTGAATTTGGAAATTTTAGAATTTAAGCCTCTAGTGTTTTGATAGTAACAGTATAGGTCATTTTTTTTGCTATTATAGGGTTTCCATTTGGGGTAAACAATTTTCAAACATTCTCCATTTTTAATGCGATCATTCATATTTGCTTTTAGGTTTTTAAAATACTCCATTTGACAAGGGGTTTTATCAAAGGTCACTACAATATGTTTGAAGTTAGTATTCTGTTTGATGGTTTTACTGCTTTTAATTATTAGAGATTGTGCTTCGTCTTTATTCTTACAGACCACTTTGATAGGTGATGCATTATCACATTTTATTCCTAGGTGGAATGTTTTTTCAACATTTTTTGCGAAATCATTATGAACGTTGAGAATTGGTTGAATTTGAATTGTATAGTTAGACTATTATTTTCAGTTAGACCAAAAATGACAATTATTTTTCCTGGACTGTCGGTTCGCTCATAATACCTTTTTTCCTCATGGTTTTAATCAATTATAGTCGGAGAGTCCATTTTCACCTTAAGTTTTTTGAAATCATCTTTTAGGACACCTTCTCAACTCTTTCTTGAAATTTTTTTGAATAGTTTTTCATTTTTCTGTTGAATGAGAACAAGTTGGCATTGTACTTTTGAATCGAAATAGTTCTATATTTTATAAAAAGTCAATCTTCACCTTATCGACAATTTTTTATGATGTACTATTTACAACACTTTGTTGTTTATCATCCGAATTAGGATTGTATTTATAGCCTTTGGAGTGTTTCAGTTCATCATATATTACAATACAAGTTGCAGAAAGCCACATTTTCCTGCACAAATTTGAAATTTGGCCACAAGCGACGAAGGAGATAGTGAACGAACGAATGAGTGCGAGCATAGCCTTGTGGATGTTGTTAGTTGGGGATTTTTTCGCAAAATATGTCAGTTGAAAACAGTTACTAACCAACTGTCAGGTGGAATTTATTTACTAGCAAAGTAGTGAATGTCAACAGAAATATCACAAAAAATGTCACCAAAAATCGTTAAGAATTTGGCGTGCGCGAATATGACATTCTTACAGCAAAATCGAGAAATAAATTTCATCAGTTGGCACAATCCCTGTGCATTTGTTGCTGTATGTTTTTTTTTATAATCAAGTATTTTATGCATGACAGTATAGATAGTAATACAATTCACAATAATATTTAAATATTAGTGGTACCTACCTCATCTATTTTATAATAATATTGGCACGGTATCTTCTTATCTTATCAGCAATGCTATTAAGCCACTTTTTCACTTATTTTGTTTTTTACTTGGTTAAAAATAAAGTGAAATAAAAACAAATTTACTTCAATTATACAGATTACAAACCAGTTTATTTCAATCACTGTAATATTTGGAGAGCGTCTTTCTATTAGTATGAATTTTAACTTTGTCTTTGCAGATTTTCTCAATGATTTTTGCGTTTTAACGGGAGTAACTGAATTAAACACTCTCTAGCACATTAAGATTTATTTATATACTAATGACTATTGCTTCCAATGCATACAAGAAATTAGGATACAGTTTTTACATGTTTACCTAATTATAGTGCGAAGCAAATAGGGAATATTTTTTGATTCATTTAAAAATATTTTCATTGTCCTAATTTATTTTGTATATCCACAATAAAGAATATTTTAATCTTGATAATATGCACGTATTTTATCTTGTTACTAACTAAAATTATTTTGCAAATAAAGAATGTTTTGATTCATTTATAAAGATTTTCCTTTCCCTGGTTTTTTCTTTAATTATTTTACAAATAAAGAATATTACAATCTTGATAATATTTTACGTATTAGTACTTTATTTAGCAATTTTCTAATACATAAATAAAAACATGACATAATAGTTGCATGAAAACAGTTGTGGTTAAAACATTAAATCTGATAGTATATATAAAACAGACAGAAATATTGTAAAATTATAGAATTACGTCAATAAGTGATGCTTTAGATCATCTTTAAATTAGTAAAATTAATCCCCCAAAGGATTTTTCAAAATTTTTATTTTAACAATATTTTTTTTAACAATGAAAATTTTGAGTACTTTTAATTATGAAATGGATTTTAAATCAACCGTTAAAGATAAATTATTGAAATTTTCAGGATTTATTGTCAAATATCTATATTTTGATAAAATATGAATAACTTAAAATTATTTGTTTATTATCATATTGTTAATTAACTTTTAAATAAAGAAATGAAAATTTCATTGATATCTCGGTAAAAAAATGTTTTTTTTATCCGTTAAATGCATTATTTATTTATGTTTAATATTCCGAAAGAAAATCTCACTGTTCGCTATTAGTTTAAACAATGTGAATTTGTTTATCATAGCGCGCCGGGCGCCAGGCGCTGTCAGAACACCGCACGGCCAAACGTCTCAGGCAACATTGCAACTTTGGTCATTTATAATTAAAAATAATAATTCAAAATATGTATTAATATTAATAATAAATTTTATTCTTTCGAACAATGTTATGAACAATGCAATAAAATATTTTTTTATTATTACACTAAATAGAGAAAATTAAGAAATACTTAATTATAAATTTTACAAAACCGTGTTATTTTATATTTATTTTTACTTTGTAAATCAGTAAGCTATCATTTTTAAATTTACTAGTAAGTACTGCTTGGTTACGATTTTCATTTGTTACGTATCCACGTAAATAACAAAATAATTTTAGTAGGCATTCCAGTTTATTCGTTAAATATTTAACTCATGCATATGAACTTATTTAATGAATAAACTGGAATACCTACTAAAATTATTTTGTTATTTACGTGGATACGTAAGTAACAACATTTGTTTATTTAAAAGTTAATTAACAATATGATAATAAATAATTTTAAGTTATTAATATTTTATCAAAATATAGATATTTGACAATAAATCCTGAAAATTTCATTAATTTTTCTTTAACGGTTGATTTAAAATCAAAATTTTGAAAAATTGTTTGGGGGATTAATTTTTCATGGTACTACTTATAAAAACAATATATGTACTTAATTTTTATGATCAAGTGGAAAATAGGGGGTCCACTTGACGTGATCTTGCTCATTTCTAACTGAAACGCTTGGCAATACTAACTGTAACGCTTGACAATACTGTATGAAAAGTACTAAATGTTTAGGAGCAAATTTTCTCAAAAAATATTCTAGTAACTCCTCTAATGATGTGAAAATTGAAAAATTTAACAATGGTTATATCTTATTAACAAAATCTCATGATACCAGAAAAGTAAAACCTATTATTTGGTACCCTTGCACAAAAAGAGTTAAAAAAATATTTAATTTAGATAAAGGTGTCATCTTCTTTTTGTTTAATATGATCTATTTTAGATATAAATAATTATTAAAACATTTTGATGTTTAAAGATTTATTCGGATTGTAACATAACATTTGATACAACTTACAATACATTGTTTTATATATGACAAGACACTTGACATATGGTTAGGGTGCTTTTACATACCATTCAAACACCTTCCCCTTAAAGATTAAGCCTTTGTGGAGGTTTGACATGGTGTCCACATCTAGACATTTTGCTTCTTGTAGTTAAGGTATCATTGATGTGGTCACTATGCAAATCCTCACTATTATTACCATTAAACAACTGGAGTAGGTCATTATCATTAAACAATTGGGTGTAATTTAGGTTTGAATTCTTCGGTTTGCATGGCTTTTCTAAAGGACAATTTGATCTGATTGTATTACACAGTTATTGCTTTTTTGTTTTACCCAATAGGACCTTGGTTCGTTGGCCTTTTCTAAAATTGTTGTTTTTACTCCTAATTACTATTTCATCCCCTTTTTTATATTCAATAGGAGATTTTTTACTATGTTTATCATATGGTAATTTAGTTCTTTGCTTTTGGTCACAATGTGGTTTGTATATATGGGCTTGAATTTTAGGTTCTAGCTTACTATCGACAATTGGTAATTAATTGTGTTCTAAGTGGCCTACTATTTAGAATTTGAGATGGTGATGCTTTTAGGCTTATAATGGGGGTGTTGTTGTACTCTAGCAACAATTCTCTAAAATCAGATTTTTCTTGAAAGCATTTTTTAAAAATATTTTTGCTTATATTTACAGCTTTTTCCGCAAGTCCGTTACTTTGATGGTAATGTGAGGTTATCGACTGAGATAATGAGGGTATCCAAATTGTGGAAACACGCATTGCATCTATAACTGCATTAGAAGTTTTGTTTAATAGGGGGCATATTTCTATCCAGTGGGAAAAATAGTCAATCAAAACTAAATAAGATTTACTACCTAACTCTAAAATATCAGCACCGATTTTGTTAAATCTTAACTTAGAGATAGCATGTGGTAACATTGGTTCTTTAGAGTTGTAAAGCATGCATTTTTCACAAGTTCTGCAAGCTTAAATTTCATCAAGATGTCTATATTTAAACTTGGCCAAAAAAAATAGAGATCGAGCTTTATTTATAGTTTTATTTATCCCTAAATGACCTTTGTGTAATAATTGAATCATTGATTTTTGTAATGCTTTTGGTACAACTATTTTGTCTTCTAGAAAATGATGCCAGCTTCAAGATATAAATCATTTTTTAATCTATGATAAGGTTTAATATTTGCTTGTATTTTACTTTCTTTGGGCCATCCTTTATACTAATAGTCAAATACTTTGTTGAGTGTTATATCCTTCGCTGATTCGTTTCTGAAATTTGTTATTTTTTCATCACTTATAGGTAGATGTTTGCATACTGTATGGCCATATCAAACATATATCCATGTCCAAACTATCTTTAATCTTGCTCTGGAAAGCATATCTGCAAAGTTAATTTTTTTCCAGGCACATAATATTAGTAATTTTAACCTCAATCTTTGTTAACGTACAGAACCAATTTTATAGATCGGCTTATTCATTATGGATATAATTGGTTTATGGTCTGTTTGAACGTCAATTTTGGCGTGGTACAAAAATTGTGAAATTTTTAGGTGCCATAATAGATTAAGAGTAATTCGTTTTTAGTTTGACTATAATTTATTTCATGTTCATTCATAGATCATGATGAACATGATACTAATTTTAAAACATTATTTTCATAAACTTTGAACATCCTAGTCCATTTGCAGAAGCATCACACTGTAATACAATTTTATTTTTGGGGTCAAATGGGACTAGGGATGGAGAATTGGAAATATTGTTCATTTTATATCCTTAAAATGTATTTTTTAGTAGAAACGCCATATTTTTCTTAATATGTATATTTTTTATATTGTCTTATCGGCATTTTGAAGTAACATTTCTGTGCTGCCTATTGTCTTTTGATTTTTATTAAAACATATTTACTTGTTCTAGTTTAAGATCATGCTTTATGTCTTATTCTTTTTCTATTTATGTTTCAAATTAATCATATTATGGTATTGTAACAAATAAACCTTAATAATTTTTAATCTTTATATTGTAAATAAATAATTTTTATGATTAATATTTTGATACTCGAAATTAATAACAATAGATAAAAAATATCTGCGTCTTGAGACTGGCTGCTTCCAAAAATTGCGATTTTATCATCTATTTATAATGTTTCGTCAAAAACCTATTAATGTCTAGCAGTGTCAATGACCTATATTTTGGTAGGAGAACATGAAATTTTACCATTAATAACTTTAAACACAGAATTTTTTATCAAATTCTGTTCTTAAAACAAAATGTGTAGTTTTTTATATTTATTGTGATTTCAATTTATAGTTAGATTTAGAAATTAAACTAAATTTATAAATAGGTATATGAATACATTAGCCTATATCTAGAGTGTATCCACGAATAAGATTCACTATAGGTAGAAAAATTTTTATTTTTAGTTTTATAAAAAAATGGCATTTTTGATAAAACATCTTAATATTTGAAAAAGTTCGTTTTTTAAATACTTCACTATTTTTTTGTTTTTACCTGTCTGCTCTTTGCTAGAATTACTAAATCACCTACAGTGTATTTTTGCATGTCTATTTAGTTAAAATTGTTTTAAAAAATACGGGGTGTTCCGCATAAGTACCAACATAGAACAGGTGCGTGTTACGCTCCCCCAAAATATGATAATTTAACCTAATTTACCTCTATACCAAGTTGTGCCCTTGAGGACTTATGGAAGCCTAAAGTGGGGCTATAAATTTCGAAAAAATGTAATATATCTGCAACCGTTCTTAAAAAAATCTATATTTGGTAAATTATTTAGGCGCTTCATGAGTCTTAATTTGGGGGGTGATTAAGAATTAATTGAAATATTTTAAAGGTTGGTTTTGGGGTAACCCACCCTTATAACTATACCGAACTGTTTTTGTCTATCGGCCGATTTTTAAACTTTTAATACAAAAATCATTTGAAACTTTAAATTTAACAACTAGCAAAATACTTAGATTATTTATAAATATTACGGGACAACCTGTATATATCATTTAGGTTAAATGTAGATTCTTATATTTGTTTTGTTTTTATTATTATTTAGCTACGAAGGTAACTGGCACAGTAAAATGGTTTAACGTCAAAAGTGGCTATGGATTCATCAATAGGAATGATACCAAGGAAGACGTTTTTGTGCACCAAGTAAGTACTATTATTTCATAAAAAATTACTTTTATTTAAATAACAAAAGTATTAAAATAATAAAATTGGTAACTAAATTTTTGCTGAATAATTTATTCCTATTTTTGCCTTTTGTTTGTATAATAAAACCTTATCTGAAATTGGTTACATTTTAAGTAATTGGATATGTAATAATTTCAAAATTATAATCATAAATTAAATTATAGGTCAAAGTTTAGTATGATAACAACAATTTGATAGATATTTTTCCTGAAATTTAACAATTTCTTTTGTATTTTTTTTTTCTTGATTGTATAAAAGTGTTGATGTTATTTTTGTTTGTTTTCAAATATGCTACTTATGTTTATGTACTTATCGGGTATTTAAATTCAAATAGTGATGATAATATTGAACCTGCTTAAAAAGCTATTATAGATAAAAGGCATGTTTACAATACTAATTATATAAATACATTACATTTTTTTCTTTTCAAAAGGTTTTAAATTTATTTAGCATTTTTTAAACTAGGTACATTTAAAGACTATAAATGCATTACATTTTTTTTTCCAAAAGGTTATAAATTTCACATTTTTTTACTTAATTTTTATTGTTTTGGTGAGTTGTTTCAATTTTGCACGCCCCTTAGATCCATCTCTGTTTCTCTAAGAGATGACTGAGTCATAAGTGTGCTATATTACAGTACCGCCACATGATGACTGTTTATGTAATACTTTTTCTTTCAATAAAGTATTGCTAGTCATTTTGTGGAGAACAGTTTATTACTTTTCTATATTAGTTTTAATATGGATTTTTAGAAATTTAACATGAATTTTATAACTTGTAGGAGAAACGTAGACATTGCTAACAATTTTAATTTAATTTTACAATTTGGGTATTGTACCTAGGTTTAGTCGCCTATGTGTGCAAAGGTCGACTTAGTTTACTAAATTATAAATTAAATGTAGTTAGAGAGAGTAAGAAAACAAATTACAACAAAAATCAAAATTGTAAGTTTTTTGGTATATGTTCATGTGATGCAGATAATGTTATAATCTAGTATTCAAAAAGTCAATCGGTATAGTATCATGTTTTCGATAATACAGTTTTTAGAAACTGAGTTTTCCGAAAATTATTTAAAAAAAAAACAATTTTCTAAGACGTTTGTGAGTTCTGAATTTTGAATATCAATAATAATAACAATAATAATAGTTTATTTGTCCTTTAGGATCATGTTACATGATATAGGATAAGTCATAATATATATGAATAAAAAATATTAAAATACAAATAAATATAGGTACAGTATACAAAAAAAAATATATATATATATACATATCTAAGACATGCACATTAAAAATATACAATTAGAAAAACATTTACCTTAAAATATGGTGGTATTCAGATAAATTATAAAAACATGAATCTACTAAATAGTTTTTAAGTTTTCTTTTAAAAGGTTCATATTTCTTTTCAGATTTAATGAAATCAGGGAGTTGATTAAAAAATTTAATTCCAACAAATTCAAGCGATTTCTCAAATAATGCTGTTGAATGTCTTGGTGTTCTGAATAAATTTGCATTCCTAGTTGAGTATTCATGATAATTTGAATTTTGTAAAAATTGGTGTATGTTGCGTTTAGCATATAGCAACGTTTTATAAATGTAAATACAGGGAAATGTTAATATTTTAAATTTTTTGAAGTTATATTTACAAGTTTGCATTAAATCTAGATTAAAAATAAGCCGGGTTATTCTTTTCTGTAAGATAAATACTTTAGATGCATTGACTGCATCACCCCAAAGAATAATGTTGTATGATATATGAGAATATGCTAAAGCATAGTAGACATTAAACAGTTGCTCTTGGGTAAATATTGATTTTAATTTTAGTATTGCATAGTATGCGCTGTTTAATTTTTTACAAACATTAGATATTTGGCTATCCCAACCCATATTGCTATCAATATGTATGCCCAAAAATTTTGTAACATCTGAGAGCATAATTTCTGCATTATTGACATTTACTTTACAATTCTGGGTATTTTGATTTCTGGAGTAGAACTGAAGGCAAACGGTTTTGTTTGAATTAACAATTAAAGAATTTCTATAACACCATGATGTAAACTCATTAGATAAAACATTTAATTTACTAATTAATTCATCTACTGATTGTGCGTTGGTGGCAATTGTTGTGTCATCTGCATATAAAATTATGTTTTCTGAGTTAATATGATTAGGCATATCATTTATGTAGCATAGAAAAATTAGAGGTCCTAAAATTGATCCCGAGGCACACCCATATCAACACTTTCTAGTTCAGATTTACAATTTCCGACTTTGACATAGATCTGTCTGTTATTTATATAAGATGACAACCAAGACAAAAAGTTACCTCTAAAACCAAGCCCTTCCAATTTTTGAATAGTGACATCTAAGTTGATTGAATCAAACGCCTTTGACAAATCAAAGAAAAGCGCACCCACAAACAACTTTTGATCGATAGAAGTATGTATGAAATTAAAAAGATCTATTGCTGCACTTTCAGTAGATTTTTCTGGAAGGAATCCATTTTGATTTTTGCATATTATTTCATATTTTTTAAGAAATATTAGCATTTTTTTGTGGACACACTTTTCAAAGATTTTGCTTAAAATTGTAGGCACTGTAATAGGTCTATAATTATCAATTAAATTATTATCACCTTTTTTAAAGATAGGAGTTACATATCCTACTTTCAGATAATCTGGGAAAATACCTAGCTGAATAGACTGATTGATTAAGTCTGCTAAAATTTGAGAGATGTGATGACTAATACGTTTTATTATCTTTGTGGAAATGCAGTCAATGCCCATAGAGTTAACATTTTTACTTTCCTATCTGTATACAGATATAAGGAAAGTATAGGAATCATGATTTTTTTCGACTTCGAGTTTTCGACGGATTTTTACGTTTTGAGGTCCCCTGAATCCGTTTTGACTATTTTCGCGATGATGTCTGTGTGTGTGTGTGTGTGTGTGTGTGTGTGTGTGTGTGTGTGTGTGTGTGTGTGTGTGTGTGTGTGTGTGTGTGTGTGTGTGTCTGTGTGTGTGTCTGTATAACGCATAACTCATGAACCGATACACATAAAAACACCAAATTTTAAACTTAAGCTTTGTTTCAGCGTCCAATGAGCTGATTAGATTTTGGGCAGAGTCGGAACATCTGGGGGGGTACTTTATTGGTGGTCATTTTTATATTTTATAGAATATATCTGTTATTTACGTTTGGAGAAGAAAATTTTTCAAATAAAAGTTACTTCTAATATAATTATCTATAATTTTTGTTCTATACAAAATTTTCCTAAAATGGTCCGTATTCGAGAAATTTGACAAAATGTAAAAAAAATATTTTTATAAAAATTGTTCAAATAAAAGTTGTTTGTAATATAATTATCTATAATTTTTGTCCTATACATAATTTCTCTAAAATGGACCGTATTCGAGATATTTGAGAAAATGTGTAAATTTCGAAATTTGAAGAAAACTCAAAAACGGATAAAGGAAAAAAACAATAAATTTTAAACTTAAGGTTTATTTCGGCCTGACGTGAAATGATTAGATTTTGGACAAAGTCGGTACATCTGGGGGGGGGGGGGGTACTTTATGGAAGGCCGTTTTTATATTTTATGGAATATATCTGTTATTTATGTTTGGAGAAGAAAATTGTTCAAATAAAAGTTACTTCTAATATTATTATTTATAATTTTTGCTTTATGTCAAAATTTCCTGAAATGGTCCGTATTCGAGAAATTTGACAAAATGTGCAAAATTCTGATTTTTATGAAAATTGTTGAACTAAAAGTTGTTTGCGATATCGATTTCTATAATTTTTGTTTATACATGATTTTTCTAAAATGGACCGTAATGGAAAAGTGACAAATTTAAATTTTTCAGTATTTTCGTTTTCAATGAATATCTATAGAAAAATGTTTCGAGGTAAATGTATGTGTAAAATGTATATATTTAGTTTATCCTCTAAACATTTATAGAGATGCTGCAATAGGTTGTACAAAATAACCGGAAAATGCCTATAATAACTAGATAGGAAAGTCATGTGTTGGACACATCAGATTTTTTAATGAGTGAATAACTTCAATTACATCACTCACGATGATTAACAGGAGAGAAGTAAAAGGTCTGAGAGACACATGACGCAGTAAAATTTTTAAAATTCAAATCATTGAAATGAGACTGTAGTGCTTTTTTTGTGGAGGTGGCAAAATGCTCTGCAAAAACTTTAGCTATTTGTTTTGGTTCAATAATTGACAGTCCTCCTACTTCAATTTGTTTAATTTGAGAACCTTTTGATGTTTTACCATCTTGGTGATTTACCTGTTTCCATATATATTTTTGTTTTTGCTGAAAAGTTTTATTTTGCAATCCCTTTTGAAAATGAGATTTTTTTGCTCCATTTATATTATTGACATATTGTCTCTTTGCTTCTTTGTATCTAATATGTATATTCACATCATTAGAATTTTTTACTAACCAAAATAAATTCCTTATATCTGCTCCCATCCTCAAAATATCTGGAGTTATCCAGTTATTTTTTTTATTTGTCTTTACAGCTCTTGTGACAACCGGACAATTTACTTCTATATAGTAATTTAGAATATTTAAGAATGTTTCATAGGCAAGATTTATGTTATCAAAATATTCATACACAGAATCAAAATTTTCAGAACTTATTTTTTGCTGCAGATTAAGTAAATTCGCCTCTGATAAGTCTCTAAAATGTATTTTTTCATTGATATCAGTTACATAACATTTTTCCTTTATATAATTTAATGACACGTCAATTGCTAGGTGATCTCCAATATAGAGGTCTACCACGGTTTCCGTATATTTAGAAAGGTAGTTTGTGAGAAAATAATCAATTTTAGTACGCGACGTTTTACCGTTTTTGTCAGTACAAATTCTAGTTGGTTCTCTATTTAAACAACGCAAGTTAAAACACTCCATCAAATCAACTAATAAAACTTTT